AATTATTATTATTATTATTATTATTATTATTATCATTATTATTATTATAAAAATAACGAACATGTACAAAAACAATGACTAGAAGAAAAGAATAGGGGAAAGAGGGAGATCCCGGAGGAGACAACAGAAAAACAAAAGGGAAACATGAAAAAATAAGAAAAAAAACTAGCTAAGAAAACATTATTATTATTAAAAAATAAAAATAAACAAATTATTATTATTATTATTATTATTATTATTATTATTATTATTATTACTTTCTCTGCAAATGTAAATATTTTCCTTTGATCTTCTCCTCCGAATTGAGCATCAACCTTCAAATACTCTTCATCAAGAGCCTGTCAATTAATAAAAATAAAAATAATTAAACAATACGGTGATATCTGATTCTAATCAAGAATACCTCAATAAATTACAGTTATGATCATTATATAATTATTATAATAATTTATTTATTAACAAGTACATGTACATGTATATAACATGTACTCACTTGTAGTCCAGGATAGAGTAGTCCACTCAATAATGGGAACTTGACTTGTTTCACAACTTCAGCCCCTGCCTTCTTGGCATCATGCTGTAGTGTAGGAGAGTATAATTAATTGAGTGGGTGTGTCTCATTAATTATTCATTACTTGTGATACGACTGACGTCATCTTATAAACATCAAGAGTGTACTCCCTAATATGGGCATTAATAACTAGTAATTAACTATTATTACTAATAACTAACAATTTAACAACTATTATTAACTATTAATCAACCATCAACAAAATAACTCTTGTTTAATAGCTATTAATTAACTATTATTATTAACTGTTAATTGTCCCTACCTGTACTGAGGTGATGTGTCCAGAGTGTCCACTAAGAACAGCTAAAGGAGCTGAAGTGTCTCCACACCAAACCCTCACCAGTTTATCAAGACTACCAGTAGCTATCAGTGTGTTGTCCCAACTCACTGAGAGGTCAGTTATTTCAGCATGATGTCCTCTTAGTGTTGTCACCAACTGACCAGTCCTGCTACACCATATCTTAGCTAGATCATCATCAGCACCCTAGGGAGGGCAGGGGTAGTGTTGTGCTAGTTCCAACGGAACTAGAACTAAATCTATTTTAGTACACCTATTTTTTTCCTAGTTCTAGTTCCAAGAACTAGAACTAGAACTGAACTATATACATTGATACAAAAAAAAAACTAGAACTAAAACTAGAATTTGATAAATTAAAGCACTGGAACTAAAACTAGAACTAAAGATTTAGCTATTAAGAACTTGAAATTAAAACTAAAACTAAAATGTGCACTTGTAAATCACTAGAACTAAAACTAGAACTAAAACGCTACCCTTTTAATAACTGAAACTAAAACTAGAACTAAAATGGTACCCTTTTGAATAACTAAAACTAAAACTAGAACTAAAATGCTACCCTTTTAAGTTATTAAAATTAAATTTCATTAAAAAATTATAAAAATCACCTAGAAATGGTGTATTAGTAGGACTAAAAATAGAACTATAAGGCCAGAATCAGAATTTGACATGGAACTAAAATTAAAACTAAAACTAAAACGGAAGTACAAGTAGAACTAAAACTAAAACTAAAACTAGAAATGGAGTACTGATAAAACTTAAACTAAAACTAAAACTAGAAATGGAGTACTGGTAAAACTAAAACTAGAACTAAAACTAGAAATGGAGTAGTTGGTAGAACTAAAACTAGAACTAAAACAGAAAATAGAGTACTGCACAACACTAGGCAGGGGTATAGGCAGGATTTTTTTAAAAAGGGGGTAGATGCGCACCGCAAAATTTTGCAAAACCACACCTTTTTAAGGTGTGACCACACCTATTTTCCAATATGGCAAACTTCTAGAAAGATCATAGGCAAAGTTAAATACCTTTTCAGCTTTATAATGGCATCATAGAAGGACTGATTTAGCCTTTTCCTTCATATGTAAGTTGTAGAACAGCTTTTCCTTCCAAAAGTAGCTTATTATTTTGTTACTTTTAAATTTTGATTTTAAAAAAGGGGGGCATTTTCCCCCCTTGTCTACGCCCTTGGAGGGCAGGGGGTCCAGGGGAAGTGGAATGATTGGAATGAGAATACACTGTACATGATATACCAGTAATGGAGGACTAACGGTAATGATCCTTTGACCGGTTGAATCAAATGAGAGACAAAACACTGGAGCAAGATGACCTAGTATCACTGTGTGCTGTGTGTGTGTAGGGTTACCATGGTAACGGGAGGGTTCGTTAATACATGTACATGTACCTTTTTCATTTTAGTGAAGTTGATTGGTTGAATTAGAAGAGAAGCCATAGAAGGAATGGAAGAAAGACGAGTAGAATGTAATAAAGTACCTAATAATAATAATAATAATAATAACAATAATAATAATAATAATAATAATAATAATAATTAATGAACTTACAGAGGTGTAGTGTGCTGTCTTTTTGTAAGTGATCAGTTGTGAAATCATGTTTTTGATTAGTTAACTTTAACAAACTAGAACTAACTGAGAGAGAGAGAGAATCAGAAAATGGAGGGTATGTTATATTGGACAATCACCAAAATAATTATAT